TTACTATTTATTTATAAATGTATTTAGGAACCTATCCATGTGATTTTTAGTGGGGGTCGACCTCAAATCCTCTATGGGGGTCCAGGGGCATGCCCCCCCCCCCCCCCCCCCCGGTAAGATTTTATTTTTTATTTTGGAGTTAAATGCATCAATCTGGTGCATTTTGAGGGGAAAATAAAGAGACTAGATCTATGGAAACACCTATATTAAACAGAACTGTATACATTTCAATAATCATAAAATCATGGCCATAACCAATAACATACCATTTCCAATATGAAAAAAACACTGAAACTTGTTTATTCATTTATTTTTGGAATCAGCCTCTCCTGTCTCTCCCCCCTGCTCCTCTTTGAGGCAGCAGCAAAGACTAGTTTTCTCTCAACAAGTTTTAAAAGTGTATCTTACCTTTTTTCACCTAGTTAACTTTTTATTTATTTATTCATGCATATTTTACTAATCACATTACATTTCATTTAGCTGACGCTTTTATCCAAAGCGACTTATAATGACCGATTACAGGGACATTCTCCCTGGAGTAACTAAGGGCTAAGTGCCTTACTCAAGGGCACACTAGTGGTGGTGTTCCTGGCAGGATTTGAACTCACAGCCTTCCGATCTTCAGCCCACCTCACTCTCCATTAGACCAATCACTACCCTCTCAAATGGAAATATGTGTTTACATAAATGGTGACCACACCGTTTGAGACCCACTGAGAACTTAGACTAAGTTAACTATCTAAACACTCAGAGAGTCCTTTACCTCACCTGAGCTGAGGTTATCCCGAGCTTGAATGACACAGAGAGACCAATCAAGGGCTTTGATTTATGATCTGTATGACAGTGGCCATGTCGGCAGGCCACATCATGTGGACAGCCAGTCACCCTGTGTGAGGCAGGCCACTTAACAGGCCAGAAGGAGGCGAGATCAGTGCAAGGGAGCGAAGGATCATTGTCCACAAGTTAATCGATCGCAGATGGCGTCGTGGTCACGGACGAATACAAAAAAAAATTATAAAAAAAAAAAATTATAAAAAAAAAAATTATAAAAAAAAAAAAAACCTAAATGGGTCGTGAAATATACTTGGGCGGCCGTTAATATACCTGGGCGGCCCGCCCAAGTATAGTCTATGTGTGGGAAACCCTGGTTTCACCCACTGTCTCTGCCACCTCCCTCCATGCCTGGTTCCTCCGGTTTGTATCCCGGTAAGTAAATAGGGACTGGTCATAAAGAACCGGGTGATTTGCTACCGCAATAACTAACTTCTCCATTTTTGTTAGGAATATAGAATGAACTGCGGTCTGGCTCTCCCAGCTTGCACGCGGTTTGATTGGCTAGCGCTTGAACTGTCAGATTTGCATAAACGGATCTGATTGGCTGTCGCTTCCAGCTCAGCCTCAAAAGTTGAACATTGTTCAACTTTGAAATCCTGAACATCCTGGAAATCCTGGAAATCTTCGCCTCGCCCCCCCACAATGCAGTTCGGCGACAAGCGAGGGAAAGTGACGTCATCCCCATTCAAAGTCAATGGGCGGAGACGAGCTGGAAGCGGTGGACAAATCACCAAAAGCTGCTGTGTGGACGGGCCGTTAGTTAAAAACGCAAAGGGTGGCGGTAGACTAGCTAACGTCGACCTAGCTAGTTCATAGTGAATCACAGCAATTTTACAATTTAGTGTCTGATGCCTTTTTAATGTGATTTTTTTTGGGGTTGACTTTTAAAATGACAGTGGCCGTCTTTTCCTGTAAATTACAGAATGTTTCTTCATGGTGAGATGGATAGATTTAATGACAGAACTGTGTCACTCTTAAAAGGTAAATCTCTTGTTAATTATTTAGACATCTAACATCTGTTTGCTGTGTTCTCTGTATCAAAGTTCTATTGATTTTTACACTCAGGTTTTGGACGAGATGGGCCGAATTCTAGAGGCAGGCAACAAGAACTTCACTGACCAGATCAAAGCCAGATGGGAAAGCTTTTGCGAAAATGTGCTGTTCTTTGGAGTGTGGAACAAGTCGTTGAAGCCACCAATGGGTCTGGATAAATGTAAGCATAATGTATAGATAACACTGATGTTTTATAGGTTGGGGGTGACCATTTAATGGCCGCATGGGATGTGATTGTATTAGCTTATTTTCATTATTTTGATAGGACAGGATCTCCTTTTTGATGACTGAATTATGGCAAAATGGTAGTTATAAGGTAGTAGTGGTCACTAGAGGGTTTAAACACTACTACCTTATGTCATGTATACAGGTGACCCTTATTGTTTTGCTTTCCCTTGTGCAACTGACAAGTGCTTTTTATATCCCCTGCAGTGAAAGTGTCAGGGATATTATAAATTCACCCTGACCGCTGCCCCCCCACTATCCAGCCAAACTTTCAGTTTGCTGATCCAATAACTGCAATCGTTTTTATTTCACTCTTTCATTTCGCTGTGCACATTCAATATCCCTAGGACAGTGTTTCTCAAACTTTTTCATACCAAGGACCACTTAACCAATAAAAAAATACTCGCGGACCACCTAACTCCACAAATATCCAAAAACACATTGTTTTTTACAAATCGCCTGAAAATGGTACAAACAAGTGGCCCCTTGTGTGATGAAGGTGTTGCGCTGGGCTATATCATGCAATCGAAAGTGAAACTTAAGCTCGCTCCATTGCGGAGATATTCCCGCGAGAGTGCGGAAAACTTAAATGTATTTATTTATTTCAAATGTGACATTTTACCACTAGGGGGCGCTCACGGACCACCAGTGGTCCGCGGACCACACTTTGAGAAGCACTGCAAAGTTTAGGGTAATCTGAATGTGATTTCAATTACATGTTTAGTTATAGTCTGTAGCATTTGTCCCCTTCAACCGCCCCAACGAGAAGACAATAGAAGTCCATACTCAAAGACATAGACTACAGTTGAAATGTGCATATCTTACTAAAGTTGACTACTAACGTACAACTAACACACTGGGAGAAATAAAGGTCAACAAAACTACCCCAACAAGTAGCACTTACTGCATTACACTCAAGTCAGTGCCTGTGTTTGGGTAATTTAGGTGACAAATACATGCAATAAATGGTGAGCATTTGAGAAACAATATTTCTGTTGAATTCCTCACAACCAAGACAACCCCAAAGAGAAGCACTTATGAAGACAAAAATCATTAGTGTTTTGCTTTAGGGTAATCTGAATGAGATTTCAATGACAGATAATTCTTCCTTTACAGTCTGTAGCATTTGTCATGTTCAACCGCCCCAACGAGAAGCACTTATTGAATTCAGACTCAGACCAATGCTCAAGTTGGTTCAATATCAAAGACTTGCACCTCTTCATGGCTCACGAGTTTCCACGTGGGGTTTTCCACCATCTTCTCTGACTTTTCTTTTTGTCTTCTAATATATTACGTAAAAATAAAGTGTGCATATGAACATATAGATAACACGCTGGATGATGCTGGGTCAGCAAAACTACCGCAACAAAAGCACTTACTACAATTGGAACAAAGTTAGTGTTTTTGTAAAGGTTATCATAATGACCAAATCTGAACTCTGAAGACTGAAATGATATTGTATGTGATGGAATCAGATACAAATTGATGCAATCAATTGTGAGCATTTGAGAAACAATATTTATGTTGAATTCCTCACAATCAAGACAACCCCAAAGAGAAGCACTTATGAAGAAACAAAAACATTAGTGTCTTGCTTTAGGGCAGTGTTTCTCAAACTTTTTCATACCAAGGACCACTTAACCAATAAAAAAATACTCGCGGACCACCTAACTCCACAAATATCCAAAAACACATTCTGTTCTCCAACTAACTGAAGGAATTAACATGTCAGCAATGATGGTAAGTGTTTTTCCGTTTTTGCATGCTTTTTTTTAGACTGTCATACAAGGATTTGGCATTTTAAATACTGCAGTGGCTTAGAACACCTAGCTTCTTACCCTCTAAGATATCATGCCACACCTTTGAATGAAAGATGTGCTTGCTATATATGTATACTGTTTCTCTGCTTTACCTGTTTCCAAACACATATAGACATTATGTTTTTCTATTTCAAATAATTGGGATTCACAAGTTAATATAACAGGGTATTTTCATTCTGCTAAAGAGACGACAGGTAAAGACAGATTGTGAAGCTTGAAACAACTTAACACTTGAGGAAAGTGACACAGGATTGTTTCTACAGCCCACAGGACTTATCCAACTGCCACTGCCACTGTGTCCAGACCCGATGGACCTGCTCCTCTGAAAGGTTATTGGGTTTTTATACTCCTCACTTGGATCCATCTTGAATCTTTTTCATACATATTATGTATATATACCCTCATGTTTGTTTCCACCTTTCATCCTTCAGCCACAGTGAAGGCACCGCTGCCGGTCCCTCCTCAGCTGCTCACAATTGCCCCAAAGCTCGGGATAGAAGAGCAGGCGCCAAATGTGTTGAGACAAAGTATGTGTTCTTCTTATACTACCAGTGTATCTCGCAGAAACTTACATTTCATTCTGACAAATCACATTGTCACGGTGTCATACAGTATAGCTCACGTTTTAGGTAAAGTTAAGTAATGATATCATCGTCTCTGTTTTCATTTTTCACAACTTCTTAAATGCTGCTTCTTAATTTCGATAATGTGTATACGTCACTTGCCTGTTTGTATCTCATCCTCCCAGATTCATCCCCACATAATATAGCCCCTGTGGAAGCGCAGGGAGACACTGTCCTCGATGAAGGTATGGATATCGGTGACACTGTATTATAGCAGTCATTTATATAGAGCTTTATTCAATTTTATCTGATGTAACTGTGTGTTTTACTGTGTTTTACAGCTCTGACTTGCCCAGTGCCTCCTGTCCCCTTAGCAGCACCACACCAGCCTGCAGCCTCTGTTCCGGGCTATAGTGAGGATGTTGCCCACTGGAACTGCTCGCACCAGCAGAAGATTTGGATGAAGACTGAGTTGGACACATTGGGTCTGTGGCCATGTTCACGTCCAGTGAGACACCTAATGAACATGTTGTCCCTGTGGCGTTATCCGCCTCAGCCTGAGCTCATAGACTCAATCTCTGACCTGCCTTCACCCAAGTACTATCAGCTTCATCCATATTTCATTTGGAAGCCAGAGCACGCGATCATGGAGAGGGTGAGAAACAACTTTGTCTTGCCCTGACTCTATGGTTGTCCGAACCCTCAGGTAGTTTCTTCTGGCATTGGAAGGCCAAGAGTCATCCTTGGGACAAGTGGCCAGTACTATATTTTAGCTTCGCGACTCACCTGCAAGGTCTGCAAAAAGTACTGGCATGCTGACAAGCCCCAGTGGCTGGAGAAGCTACCCCAGCGCATCAGCAACATCGTGCCGGCCTTCGTGACGCACAAAAAGGCCGTCTGCAAATCTGTACTGGATGAGATGAGGCGCAGCGGCAGATCCCCAGAGGACATGTCCAAGCAGCTGACGGAGGCGCTCAATCTCAAATATGAGAGAGCTCACCTGGCCTACTTGCTGTGTGTGCAGAATGTCAGGGATGCTGAGGCAGGAGTCTACGGCCAAAGGACCATCACTGGGTTCCTCAGACAGGAAGATACTCCGGCTCCATTTGGTGGATACTCGGATGGTGATGGCTGGTGTGGAGTTTCTGTCTCTTCCCACTACCTGGTGGAGTGCCTGGTCCATGAGTATCAGCGGCAGGAGGAGCTCCTTACTCTGCTGCTTCAGGGGACCTTTGGACAGGCCCTGAGGTCTGATCACACTCGCAGAGTGGCTAGGAAGGTTGTGCTGTCGTCTGGCACTATGTCTTCCTATGCCATCATGAATGAGAACTGGATGATCCTGAGCTGGGTGATGCTGCAGTCAGAGTGTGATAGGTCCCTTAACCCGTTGTATGAGGGTCTGTCTCAACGCTACACTGTGGCTGGAGTGGAGAAGGCACGCTACCAGTGGGTGGACAGGTATAAACAACAAGTTTAAATTGAAAACAGTTGATTCTTTTTTTTGTTGTTGTTTTTTTAATTCTGCATTTAATTCTGTAATCTGACTCTTCATAAATATAATACACATTAATAATTACAGTTAATTATTACACTCATTTTGTACGAAGATATTGTACAAGGTTTTCAGCTGTAATGACATTTCTTTTTAATGCTTTAGGGACTGCTGCGCTGCCTTCAAGGTCCTTCAACCTGGGGCTCAGGAGCACTTGTGGGACAGCTGGAGGACCACAGATGCTATCCTGGCAGAGGCCACCTCTGGAAATCTCAAGAACATTTGCGCATCAAGGAACAAGTTTAACAAAGACATTATTGTCAAGTTGGACTTGTTTCATTGTATGCGGCGGTTTACCATGGAGTGTGTCTCCGAGCATCATTCTTTGTACAGCTCCTTCTGCCAGTTCCTCTCAGTAGGGTTCGTTGTGGTGGACCACAGCGATCTCCAGAAGCTGAAGGAGGCGTACACGTTCTGCAGAATTTCTCCTGCTAACCCCACAAAGCAGCACATAAGAGAGCACTGCAGGACAAAGGTGCCACAGCCAATGGAACTGCTGCAAAGAGTGGAAGACGTCCTCCATCACTATTACATGGCAAAGGATGCCAATGATTTGCTCCTTTTCAAAGACTCAATGTTAAAGCTGTGGAGGATCCAGCGCATCCACATCCTCCGAGGCTGCCTGAGCGACCCCGAAGTGGGAGAGGGAATCCTCTACAGGTATGGTGGCACCCTGCAGCTGAATTACAACAAGGGTGAGGGAGCTGCCGTGCCTGTGTGGATCCCTGTGAGAGGCACCTCTCAGCAGGAGGGTTTCCACGGACACCAAGCCCAATGGGTGACAGGCAACCGGGTGTCCTGTGAACTATTCCAGGCCCAAGCTATGACTGGAGTTGTGCGCTGGAACTACCAGAGGCTGGTGGACCTGAAACAGCCAGATGTGGAGCTGCCAGCCGTGTTTGACCCCCGGTTGATTTCAGAGCTTAACACCATCTCTGTAAAAGTGACAGGAAGGTCCAAATACCCAGCACTGCAGCTCTCCAACAGGGACACGGGGGAGAGATTTGGACTGCAGTACGTGGAGCCAGGCTGTCGTCCTGTTGTTTTGAACTGGGACAAGAACAGGGCACAGCCAAACAACCCAGCGGCAGTAGCCATGGAGACAGAGCATCATTGCCCTGCCCCCAGGGGCGGCGGGTGCTGTAGGCTAGGGAAGGCTAAGCCTTCCCAAATATTTGTGTTACTGCATCCTGGTAAAATACAAATATAATGTATAATGTCTGTGTCTTTGACATTAGCGCTGCTAGCCACCTGTTCCCTGTACTACGAAGCCAGTTCAACATACCCTGGATATGTTTGAGTAACAAACTAACAACAACAAACTAACAAACGAGATCTCGCTAAGCGGTCCTACGACGCTGGTTATCAACTCGGTAAATCAAGCCAGGGTTTCTCTCACCAGCTGAGAGCGCGTTTACGGGGGCGGGGTTAGCTACATTTGACCAATCACAAACAGGGACAAGTGTAGCCTACTGACAGCGCAGCGTCATACTTCATTAATGAAAAGTAAACTAATATTAGACAAATATGAGCTTTAAACATCCAACATTTGACTTGAGTGTTTCGTCAACATAATGTGTTGCTTAAAATAATACTTCTGCATACAGTAGGCTATGTGACATTGTAACTGTTGCACGGCCAGATACGGCTGGAGAAGCTGACTCAGATAAGGAAATATATGATATATTATGATATTATATGATCGATGATCTGATTGATGATGTAATATGAATGATAAGTGTGACACGTCGGCGTCTTCTCTTTATACGGCAGTTTAAACTGTATTTCCTTTATCCTGTAATATGACTTGAGAGATTTAAACTCCGCACACTGAGTTGATCTCTTTTCTATAGACGCCGGAGGCGGGCAGCGTCAGGTAAAAAAAGTTATTTAGCCTTCCCAAACCTGAGCCTCACGCGCCGCCTATGCCTGCCCCTACTGTTATAGTGGGCACAGACTCTCAGGTAATCCAGTTCATATGTATATCTACTTACTGTCAAGTACTGACAGACTGGCTGACTAACTAATTCACTATATTTGTGCTATTTCAGGAATCCTGTGCTGATCCAGTTGGGGCAGTGCCAATTCTGTCTTCCAGTTCCCGGCAGTCCTCTGATGTTGTGACCAAGTCCCTGCTGCCTTTGACACAAGCCTCTGCCACACAAAAACCAGAGCCTTTGATAGATACAGGTCATTCAAATTACCTACCTACACTACCTCACTGTTAAAAACAGGCGTGCACATAATATATGTAATATCATCATGTTGAAATATTGTTTATTAACAACAATCATTAAGCAAGTGTATGCAAACTGTAAAAGCCATTGAAAAGCATAATAGAACAAGAGGTAGGAATATAAGATAATCATGTATTTGTCCCACAAAACTTAAATTAGCTGTGAAGTGAAATGACTAAAAGAGCTAATTGATTTGCAACACACTGGCATAAAACAATATAATTAACATATATTTATTTTTTAGACTTGACAGGGGTAGCACCGCTGCCTCAGTCCTCCTCTCCTCGAGCCACCCGCACTGGACCAATTAAAACTGGTGGCCTCATTCAAGTCTTGGACCATGGTCGGTGGACAGAACCCATGAAAGCTGCCATCGACGAGCTTCTGGTAAACCACCGTGGTGCCAAAGATGTCCTGAAGCGGGTGGATGCGGACTACGCTGCCATGGTCCAGAGGGGATGCACAGACCGGAACAGCCTCCTTCACCTGACCACAGTCCAACATATCTCACGATATGTGGAACATCTGGCACAATTAAAAAACACCAGCCCTTCCCTCAACACATCCCCAGAAAAGGTCTTAGAGACACAGCAGCTGTGGCATAGTTTGACCTCAGGTAGCCAAACTATCAGTGTGCCTGTCATAACTCTGCCACCTGCCATATGCAACCCTCCAGCTGTGGCTCCCAGACAGGAGGACTCACTGAGCAGGGCTTCAGTGGAGAAGATTGTGTCAGACGTCCTGGCAAAACAACAGCAGCAGCAGCAGCATCAGCAGCAGCAGCAACAACAGCCTCAGAAAAAGACGCAGATGAGAAACTGTTTAGCCTGCGGTCAGCCTAAATCCAGATATCTTGGGGATGGCTCTTCAGTTCATTTTTTTTACCAGTCAAAAACGGTAAAATACTTTTACTGCTCCACCAAGGTCTTTCAGACCTATGCTAAAGATGGCCTCAAAGACACCAGGATGTCTTTTGAGAACTTTGCTGCAACTCCGTTTTTTGAGCGAGAGCTGGAGGCTGCCAGACAAAGGGGGGCAGAGTGGAGAAAGGTTGCAGAGGAGAGAGGGAAGAGGAAGGCAGCTGTGCAGCTGCCAACAGGCCGTCTCTGCAGGTTTTGTCACCAACCCCTGAAGCAGGGTCCCAACAAGGCAAGGCAAGGCAAGGCAAGTTTATTTATATAGCACTTTTCAACACAAGGCAATTCAAAGTGCTTTACAAAAAATGAAAGAGATTAAGAAAATGGCATTTAAAATCAGTCATTAAAAAGAAAAGCTAATAAAATAAACATTAAAAGAAAAAATACATGGATAAAAGTTACAGTGCAGTCAATTAAACATTAAGCCCGAAGGTCCCCGCCGGCGGGGACCCTGTTTTTTTTTTTTCACGACACTGTGTCTCAGGGCATCTTAATATTTAAAAACCTATTAATGTGTTATACCAGATTAACGAGAAGAATCTCAGCTAACTGACTATACGAACCATTTTTACCGAAACAAAACACAAGTCTCACAAGAAGCGTTAGCATTAGCCCTTAGCTAAAACGGGCAGATGCTACTTCCGGTGCTAACTAGCAAAAACGATCTTTAAAACTTAATATTTTCTGCACAAACTACATATCATCTGAAAGCTGATACTCCACAGATTATTTTTGTTATAACTCTCATCACTGTAGGACACAAACTCACTGAGATATCAACCAGAACAGAGAAGGAAAAAAACAACAGTTTTCAAAACCATAACAATAATTATGTC